CACTGACTTACATAATGCAAATTATCTAATTGAAGATGGGATTCTGGAGTTGTTTTTACACTTTTTATGTTGTTGAGTGACACTGACTTAGATAATGCAAATTATGCAATTGCAGATTGGATCATTTGGATGATAAGCATAATTTTGAGGGCTGTATGGTGCTATTTGGATTCAAGGTTCTGTGGAGTGAATTAATGATTGGAACATTCCTTCCCGCGGAGTTAGTTCTGGTTTGAAAACTGGTGAGGCCCAAAGCCCGGAGGGTCTGTGTGTGAAATTGGTGATTAATCAACACGTGTAATCCGAATACAAGACACGAACACACAACCCATGGCTTGGCAGGCAAACACCTAACCATAAGGCTAAGTGCGCTGGGGTGAAAGTGAAGCCCCAAGATGAGCACTTTACCCCACCCCATCACGCCGATGATCACGGAGATCCCTCGACACGGTGTACCCAACCACACTCACCCCTACGCAGCCACACTGCCCATAGTACAATCTCTACAGCGGTTACTGCAAAAAAGCACATGTAATCCGAATTCAAGACTTGAACACACAACCAACCAGTGCCGTACCCCCCTTCACCGTTCACGGGTTCTGTCCATGGAAACCGGTCATGGGTTCGTGGAGTTCATGACATGGGAGTTTTTTTTTGCTGGGGGGGGCTGTTTTTATTTTTATAGGAGGGTGGGGGTCATCGGAGTGCGAGGATCAGTGTCCTCGGTAGGCCTACGAGGTCCTGTCTGCAGCCTTACCCACCCTAAGTGAAGGCGGAGGTGCCCACCCTAAGTGAAGGCGGGCCTGGCTTTTTGCAAGAGGTTGACTGTCAATTTCATATTTGGGGTCCAGGCAGTTGCGACGCGCCAGTTGGTTGAAAGAAACACAGGCCAAGTACCGAAGACATTTCCACGGCCTTCCGGGCCTTTCCAAAGARTGCAGGCCCTGGGCGTGATTCACAGCCTCATACAGAGACAGTTGGGCGCCCAACCAAACGAGGCCCAGCAGCCCAGTAGCTGCTGCATCCAGACAGCATCCTGGGGCCTTCCGGAAGCTGCTGGGCCCAGGCCAGCCCAGCCAGGCTGCGAGAGCTGGCCAGCTCTTTTCCATAAAGGAAAGAGCTCTGGCCAGGCAGCTCATTCGGTCACTTGCTGGCTGGGCGGCAGTGCTGCTGGAGCAMGAGCTCGCAGGCTGACTGCCGGCAGAGGAGCAAGGGGCAACACACGTGCGGTCGTGTAGGGGAACAGGGCGCTGCTGAGGGCAGCGCCATAGCCAGCCTCCATAGCGGGCTTGGCTTGGACAGAGTGAGGCGCAGGGGTGGTTCTTCGGCTGTCAGAGAGGACAGGTGTGGGTGAAGTCAGGGGATAGGTGAAGGATGATGATGATGATGATGATGATGATGATGTGAGGGCATGTACCTTGTATTGGCGATGGTCTGCATGGGCGGCATCTTCAAGTACTTCGGGCTGCTGCTGATGTCCACGATTGCATTGTCTTTTTGTAGTCTGAAGTAGCTGTGTAGAAGTAGGCTGGGCGCTGAGCGCCAAGTGTGAGTGTAAGGGAACTGGATACTTGTCTTCAAGAGGAGAGAGTGTGCTCTCCATAAACATTGGTTTTCAGTGCTACAAAACTCCATTGGTGTATTATTGGTGCAATGCTGCTATCTGGACACGGTGTGACTATTTGACTTGCAATGTGATGGTGTGATCTGGGATTGTCATCTCGCTCCTTGCAATTCGGTATCAGAGCTGGTTCATATTGCGCTTCATTGGTTCTTCGCAATAGGTATTGGTGCTTCGCATGAGGTGTGGGGCAGTGATACGGCATTGGCGTTGAACATTAGGCGGCCCAGGGTTGTGTGGGCGCGCCAGGGAGCTATGTGGTGACATACGGGATGTATGCTGGATGATGAGAACTTGCGGATGTGACATATTAAGCTGAGGTGGAACCGCGTTCTGCTGTTGGTTGTGCCGAAGCAAAGACCGGTCATCATAATTGCACATCAGGTTA